GGAGCTGCTGTTGTTGCACTGTCGGAGCAGCTGCACACAGAATTCCTGCTCTTTCCAAGCTGTGTCTTTGCCCAGAGACTCTTGCATTAGTCAGACACTCAACCATAACTTATGATAGCCCTGAAAAAGGCTGAGACTCTGCTTGCAGATGTGCTGCCATGGGGCTGCATCCCAAACCCTGGTGTTCCTCATTTGTAGCATGAACCATAAGTAAAGGTGGAATAGTGTTTTAAATAATGGCACAAGCAATTGCTTCTCAAAAGGTTATCTTAGGTGGGAATAGGGGAAAACAGAAATACTTTATTGTGCAAACCTTTCCCTATCCAAATAATTGTCTTTGAAGTCATTGATTATTTGCATCAGTCCAGATTGTTTAAAAAAAAAAAAAGTGTTTACTGGTTCTCTGCAGTGTTTTTGTTTGTCATTAACCTTTTGGACAAAGTGATAACCTTGATTTCCTTCAGTCTGATAATTAAATACTGTTCTTTACCTTTTTTTTAATGGGCTCTGTCCTAGAAAGGTGTGTGCTGACTGAAAACTTCAGATTTAATTCCTTACATGTGGATTTCCAGATTTAGAAAATTAGAAACCTAAATTTTGGTACTCGCTTTTTCTGTTGTATATTTAAGAACTAAGGACTCCCTTCCCCACAAACTATTGTGCAGACCCAACTGTTACAGCAGTGTTCAGATACAGCTGGTTGGGATTCCACTTGGGTCCGCTCTCAGAGCGAAATCCCTGTGCCTTGTCGGGTTGGGTAAACACTTCTTACATGGAGATCCAGCCAGAAGGAAGCACCAGGCACAGGATGGGATTCAGGCCAACTCAGTCTGGTGTCTGGAAGCCTGTTCCTGTGTCTTGCAGTTGTTGCACTCAGTATGTGGGGCTGAACAGATCCTTATTTTGTGTGGACCCACGGGGGCTTTGCTCTGGGGAGCGTGCTGGGTCTGGGAGTCTGCTCTGTTGCTTATGCCCATCTTGAATGGGATGTTTTCCACATGGCAAGCAAATATTTGTGTGCCTTGTTGAGGGTAGGAGGGATGGATGAAGCAGAGCAACTTGCAGATAAAGAATATTGCCAAGACTGACAAAGGCTTCTCCTTCCAGCCCCTGGTTTGTATGATTTCTCTATCACATTTATGAAATAATTGACTCTAAGTACCTCCAGTTGTTTCTCAGTTTTTATGTGTGCTGCTCTAATGCAATTATCCATGATGCCAGGAATATCCAGATATATTGCTCCTGGTAAAAGGTATTTTTTGGCTGTACATCTGTGCTTAGTTAAGAACTGTTCCCCTTTTTGAATCTGAGCCCAGGTGACTCAGATTTAGCTGTTCCCTTTTCTGATGGAAAGATGGAGAACAATATTTTTGTCATCTGAAGCAGGCTTTCATATTGTGCATTCCTGGGATGCTTTTCTTGGTTGTGGGAACAGACAGAACCATTCATCCCAGTATGAAAAGACTGCAGGAAGAATCCAGTGGAGATCTAGAAAATCCTTGTCATCTGTGTTATCTTGGAAGAGGAAGAAAAACAAAACAAGCAGAGCTGGTGGCCCCAGAGCATCCACAGGAGCAGACGGGGTTTTCTTTACAGTGTGTCTGGAGAAAGTCACATTTCCTTGAAGTTCCACGGGAAGGCAAAGCTTTCAGCTTGTGCAGGTGATATGGGGAGCAGGGAAGAGAAATGGCTCATGTTTCTTACACCACAGATTTACCTGCATTCACCTCTACTGCTGGAAACAGATATTTTTTTTTTTTTTTTTCCAGAAGGGCTGGAAACAGATTTATTATTTTTTTTTTCAGAAGGGCTCTGCTAATAGAGCCTGTTGGGAAGCCGAGGGCTCGGTACAGGAGCTCAGGGCACGTTGTCATCTCTAATGGAGCAGGGCAGTGCCCTGTGGAGATGCTGGCCTGTGTCCCAGGCCAGGGATATTTCTGCAGCACAGAAGTTGCATCACTCGGTCGGGAGCTAATGTGGGACTTGGATGGCTCAGGCAGTGTTGCTCTGGGTGGTGCAGATGACCTGATGGTGTCATTTGGAAGAGCTCCGTGCTCAGCATTCAGAGCTTCCTAAAAACCTGCTCAAGTGTTTTTATGCTGAAGTGGGGGAGAAACTAGTGACAGGGGAGGAGTATCTGTCCCTAGCAGCAGGCATAGATTTCTTAAAAATGAGTGTCTGGGATGTTTTGAATCTGTGTCTTGCTGACAGATTGCACTTAGAGTAAAATTTACTGAAGTTCATCCTCATTTCCCTGTGTGAGATGAGTGTGCAGGTGTGGGCTAAGTCAGCCATCCCTGACTCCTTGCTCTGGTCACTCTGCAGCTCGTGGAGGTGACAATGACACTTTAGGAGGGTGAGTTTGCCCCTGCCAGACCTCCCTGTGAGCTGACATGTGCTGGGCACAGCTGGGCAGGGGATCTGCCTGGTGGTGCTTGAGGAGTTTTTGAATCTGCTGTGTGTGACCCCAGTGAGTGTGACCATGAACTGGTTGTGGTGGTCGTATTTCAGGTTAAAAGCAGCTGTCTGTTCTGAGGGGAGCATAATTAGCAGCCTGTGGAGTTCATTTGTTCATTACTGTGTGGAAAGCAAATCTGTTTATGTTGAGGTTTCTGGCAGAAATCTTTATGCAGTGGGAATGCACTTCCTCTTGTCTTTCTCCCCCTGCATGAAAATATCCATTTGTCCTGAGAAGAAGCAGAATATCACAATATCCTGTGACTGGTGTGGGCAGCTGATCTTCAGGGGATAATGAGTAGTGGAGGGAAAATGAACTGAAGTTTCCTGTCTCCTCATAGATGGGCAGCAAAATCGAGGAAGGAACACACTAAATTCAGTGCTCCCTAAAGTTTGTGGTTCTGGCTGCAAAGTTAAGAATTCAGAGACTCCCTCTAATAGCAGCCTGAAAAACTGTAAAATCTTTTTATTCTGACATCCTTCCCTGCTTAAATTCTTCTCAGCTACTGTTTTATGTTTTCCCTGTGTCTTTTTACCCTCCCATCCTCATTCCTGCATGTGGATCCAACCAGCCATCTGGAAGCACCAGCATCCCCAGGTTACTTAATCCCGAGTGCAGCATCAAACCTTGTAACCAGAAGGTGGGACCAGCTGATGAGATGAGTAAATCCAGGAGTAAGGGCATGTTGTGAAGAGGGCAAACCTTCATGTTGAAGGTGAGGAAGATGGGGCGAGACCTCTTGGTAAGAGCACAAGCCCTGCCAGCAGAAGTGCTGCAAATCAAGTTACTCTGTAAAATCAAAGCCAACCCTGGGCAAAATGTGTTGTATGAGATGGAGTGGGTGGGAGATGTCATACCTGATGCCTTGACAGATAGGAGGAACCCAGCTGATTAATGTTTCTCACCTCCAGATCCGGTTCCTTGTCTCCCTGTTTTATGCTAAACAGAGCTGGAAGCTGCAGCCTCCTGTCCAGCTCTGACAGCATCTACTCCTCGCTGGCTCTGTCACAGGAAGGCTGTTTTCTCTCTTCCTTAACAAGAACTACCTACTCTTGTCTGTTATTGCTGCTGCTGGTGATGTGATCTGAGCATCCCTCTTGTCATAACCAGCCTGCCTTCTGTGTAAGGTCAAGGTGTGCAGGTGTCTGAGGCCAGCCCAGGTGCTGAACACCTTTGGGGGGGCATGGGGAAGAGACAGGGCTCCATCCCTTGGGTTTTCATTCAGGCTCCCTCTCTGCTGATCCCTCCTTTCTTTGTCTCTCTAACTCGGTGTGGGATGACTGACTCTTACTGCTGAAACACTTGGGTGTCTCAGATATTTGTGAGCCCTCGGGAATACGGTTTTGGAATTCTCCTTGTGGTTTTCCCTCCTCTGTGTCTGCCTGCAGCTCTCCCTGGAGCCCTGCCAGCCCTGGGCTCGCTCTGACCCAGCCTGTGTTGAAATCCTTACTCATGCCTCAATCACTTCCTGTCCTGTCATTGCAATTCCCCCCTTGCAGCATCTGTAAATCTTTCCTACGTTGATTCTCAGGGGTGCTGCCTGCAGCAGGCTGTCTCCTTCCTTGGCCTGGAAGCAGGTGTGGGTATCCCCAGTTTCTGGCTGGTCCTTGGTTTGCTCTCCTTGCAATCCCCTTTGCCATTAGGTCTGTGCTGTCCCTGGCTTGCTCTGGTGCCACCTTCTTCCCTCCCCATCCCAGACTGCTGTCTCCCAGCCTCAGCTTCCTTTTGGCTGATAGACTCAATTTTTTGATTGTTTTTCTTTATCCATTAGGAATGTTTTTGACTTTTTTTTTTTTTTAAGCAACTTAGTCACTTCCTCTATTTTTCTTTTCTCATAAAACTTTGCTTGAGAAGTTGTGTGCTTGCTGATGCAATATCCTTGCAAGGAATTTGGAGGTTTTATTCCATTTGCCTACTGGGAAGAGAATGACATAGGGAAGGGTTGTGACTTCACTAATGAGTAGTTGGTAGCCACGCTTAAGTTTCAGAAAGTTTTTTTTTTTTGCAGTCTTATTGTAAATGCATAGGATCAGATGTCCTCTTTATGTGACAAGGGAAGGAGCTGAAAGCCCCATTTTTGGACACTGGTCTCATCCTTCCTCCCCCTGCCAGTTTGGAGAGGCTGCCCTGAAGATGGTGAAACTGGGGACTGTGCACCAAAGGTTTGGTGCTGAGGGTTGGTGGTGCCTTTGGTCAGGGCTCTGAGGCTTTGCTGATGCCTGAACTGAGACTTTAGAACTTAAAACCAGTCAGCAATTTCCATCACTCAGCTGCCATACTGAAGCTAAATTCTCGTTTGATGGTTCTGGGAGGTTTCAGCTTTGGCCCAGGACTCCCCAGGACTCTGAGACTGACAAAAAGAATGTAACATGAAGATGGGAGATGAGGGAAATGATCACCCTTGCTTTACAGGATAAGAAATGAAAGATGCTGCCTCTCCTGGGGCTGTGAGGAGGGAGCTGGGCACTGCTTTCTGGGAGCCTGTTCCATGTTCTCCTACTCATTCTCCACCTGATTTCTTTGTGCTCTTCTCTCCCAGGTGTGTGACGATGGAAGAAGAGGTCCACCAGCGAGCAGCCTGAACAGGGACATCAGGACAGCTCTCTGAGACACTGGGACACAGGAGACAGCAAACATGCTGAAGCCAAGTGGACTTAAAATCCCTGGCAGGGCTGGGAAGCACTCCAGCCCCGTGGGACGGACATCAGGGACCACCACAGCTCCAGTCACCACTGGCTCAAAAGAAGGTAAGGGCTCCATCTGGCAGGGGCACGAGCTGACCCAGGTGATGGCCTGGCTCAAAGGCCTAGTGGTGCCAGTTTTCAGTAGGATATGAATTTCCCAATCTGTACATAGATTGATGCATCAAAACAAGCCTAATAGGGTGAGGAAATGTCCTCCCTCACAGGTAATGCACAAAACAGGCAGGTTGTGGAGTGGGTGGGAAGAGACAGATGGATGCTCTGGTGTTTAGGGCTGACAGAGGTGCTGTCTGCTCTCTTGCTCTCACTTTGCATGTGTGTACCTGTACAGACACTGACACTGAAGAGCTGGGAATTAGGCAGATCCATGACCTTAAACACTGTCCTGTAGCCATTGCTCCTGGCCTGTGATGATGTAGGAGTAAGAACCAGGCACTTAAGGTGATTTGCCCTGTGCTGATTACCTCAAATTAGTGCCTTTGTTTAAACAAAATCATTCAAAGCCCTGGAATTTGAATAATGATTTACCTCCACCTACATACACACCCTTGCTGTCATTCAGTGTATACATAAGCTACACAGACTGCCATTAGCAGTATAATTAACACTTCAATAACAGTTGAGGTGTGTTTTGCTTAGGACTCATTTTTCTGGATTATTGGCTGCTGGGTTGTTGTTTTATTACATATAATTTAGTAAATATTCGAGATGCAAGTTTTGTAGTTGTGTTTTTTGTTTCACTTTGTTAAAAAAGGCCTTCCCCTTCCTTCTGGGGAGGCACATCAGGATGATGTACATCCTATCAATGCTTGTACTTTCAGTATATTACACTTTCATTTGAGAATGTCACTGGTTGCTTCTTGAGATCTGTCAGCCTCTTGTCCCACAATAATTCAGGCCACTGCCCACATGCCTGGTTACTTTGCTATATGTTTCAGTCCAAAAAAATATATAGCATTTAGCAGAATCAGGAAAACCTTGTACCTGTCAAACAGCATGTTTATTATTATTGATTAAAATTACCTTTACTATACTCTGACAAATTAGTCGGTGATTATGATGCTGCAAAATGAGGGTCACCAGACAATGCTGTCTCTTGTCAGAGTAATGCAGAAGTGTTAGTTTATTTAAAAAAAAAAACAAACAAACACCCCATCTCTGAGGTTTCTCTTTTGCTTGGGCACAGTGGGATGGTGGTTTAGGCACAACCTCTGCCCAGGATATTCACACAGACCCCACTTGCTGCTGAGCAACTGGCCCTGCTCCATCATTACACATCAGGGGCTCTGCTTTGCTCATAGATTCCTTCAGCTGAGCTTTCTCTCAGTGACCAGTAGTGTATGTATCATCTTTCCCACTGTGTAAATTCTTTCCCTAAACAGTATTGTAGAAACCACAGCTCTGTCTTGGTTTTTTGCACATCTGCAATGTCTTGTTTGAGGGGCCAGTCGCTGCATGAGGCCGTGGGCTGAATTCCAGGTCCTTTGGTGTGATACAGCATTGTGGGGAGTGGAGTGACACTGCTGTTCCTCAGCTGAGGACTTGGCCCTAGATGTGGAGATAAAATTTTTAATTGCACTTTGCTGTGTTTGAGTGGGTTTTAATATCAGAGCCTAATTTCTTAATTTTATATGCAAATCGAAGATAGCGAAGTGTCCTTATATCTTTGCTAGAGGGAAGTGCAAATTGACAAAGGAAAAGTTTTACAGGTTTGGCTGTGTATTGTAGTTATTCCTCAGACCCTGAATTTCTGAATTTTCCCCCTGTTTCTCCCAGCTGTGATTGAGACATGAACTTGAACTCCAGTGAAGTTCAAGTTCACTGAACTTCTGTTTATCTGCCGGTTGTGAATCTCTCAAGGAATTGCAGTGTGGTGAGGAGCTGCTTTCAGTTGCTTTATCACTTCAAAAGAGAAAATGAGGGGAAAAGACCTGTCTTCCCCTTGGAGGCTCTGCAGAGGTGTCTCAGCAGACGCAGTTGGGATGTGTGTTGTGGTATGAAAGGGTCAGTCAGCAGCGGGGTCGAGCAGCCCTTGGGCTGAATGCGGCGCCTGTTCACTGGTGCTCCTTTGTGCCTTGTTCAGCTCCAGCCATCTGTCACCCAGAGATGTGCAGCAAAGCCAGCCCCACGTGGGCAGAGGCTGCACCAAACTGAGTCTGACCCTTGCCTGAGAAGTTTTAAGTGAGCTTTTTTCCTGGAAAAAAAGCGGGCGCGGAGAAGGGGTGAAGTCTTGTGACGGTGGGTTGGTGCTGTGCAACAGCTCTGCTGCTGCTCCTCTGCCTCTCAGGATGGTGCAGGAGGGTTTTGGGAGTTGTGGAGCTGCTGGAGCAATCACAGCACTGAGCTATTCCTGCCTGGAAGGTGAGAACAGAGCACAATGGGGCTGTTTACCCAGCGTGGGCTGGGTGAATAGCTACGATTGGGCTTGTAGTGTCAGCTCTGGCATCTTGCTCTGAACTGCTGTGTCTGTGCCTGGCCTGTACCTGCTCTTCCTCCTGCAAATCTCTCCAAAGGCCTGCCCAGCCCTGTGCTACCTCCTTCTCGTCTCCTTTCCAATGTTAATCTGAAGCGGTGAGCATCCCAAAATTTGCATCCCAAAATCCTGTTGAAGGTGCCTCTCTCTGAGAGCAGCAGCATCTGTGCTGGCTGTGGGTCCTGGCTGCAGCATGGTCATGGGATTCAGCTGCTGGCAGGGAAAAACTCCAAGAGAAAATACTGTTTTTCTGTCAAAGTGGTTTAATTCTGTTCCAGAGCCAAGTATCCACATAACTGAAACCACAGCAGGCACTGACGTCAACTTTGGGGATGCCTGCAGCCAAAGGATCTGGTGATAGATGGCCATGGAGACTGGATTTCATTACCTTTCCTGGGATTAATCAGATCTGGGCCACAGGAGGGTGATGGAGCTCTGCCCCATCCTCACTTTTCTGCTTCACTAACCTGTATCCCCCAGCCTCTGCCCTCTGAGTGCATCAGTGCTGCCAATCCACAGTCCTACTGATAACTCAGCTGTGTACCAAGAGCAGGTCCCTCTGTGCCAGCTGAGGGCTGTCAGTTCCTGCACTGTGCACCAAGTGCTGTCCCCAGTGTCAGGGCACTGGAGCCTCCCTAATGGCAGGAACAATAACAGAGGTGGAGAGGCTGAACACAATTTCCTTTTGTGTGTTTAATGTGAATACTGCAAAGGGCTTTTTCTTCCCTCTTCTGTCACTGTCCAGGAGAGTGCCTTCATGTGATGTATTGGGTGCCTGCTGGGATGGGAAGATCCTCTAAAGGTACTAGATTTTGTATGAGGTCTTAAAAGTTGCATGAAGGAGGCTGTGTGTTTGAGAAGCCCTGCAGAAACTATGAGCTCTGTGTTGTCTTTGAATGTTTGCATGAGCTCTGTGCCCTGTGTCTGTGCACCAAGAGTGCTTCCTGGGAGGCTGACAGGGTTTTCCTGGCTCCACAAAAATCCAGTACACCCACATCCTCCTAAGCTCCTGTGTTGCCTCTGCTTTTCTTGCCAGAAAAGCCAAAAGAGGCTTTCTTTTTCTTAGGCATTTGGTGAAGCACCTGAGCCCTGCAGCTTGATGGATGAAAACCAGTGATGTTTGGGTCACAAAATACAGAGCTGCAACACTGATCTCTGTGAATTTGCCACCTTGGGGGAGGATAGAAATCTCAAAAGCTCGAAGTGTAGTTGCAAAAGAAAACCACAAATCTAACAAAGTACAGAATTAAACTACAGCAATGTACAGTCTGTTGCCTCTGAGCTGTCCCTTGTCTCTAGGAGCCTGGGGCTGGCTCAGAAAGACCCCAAATCGAGGTTATATCTTCCAGATTGAAAGTTGAAAGAAGGTGTTTGTTCTCCAGTTGTACCTGAGAGTTGTCAGAGCCATTAGATGAAAATGGATTTTGAAAAGCTTCACTCTTTCATCCTCCTCCCTTCTCATAAGCTGATCAGTCTTGTCTGCAAAAGGGCAAGTAGAGGTACTTTCCTTTATTCTTACTCTGGAATACACAAAGCTGCTTGATTTCTTCTTTCTCTTTTCCCCAGCTCTCTGTTCATATTCTTTTGTGGAAAGTAAAGTGCCTCTTGTCCATCTCTCATCCCTCCTCCTTTCCCAGACATGGAGATGTACCCTCTTAAACATTTCCATGTTCTCTTGACAGCTCACATCTTGTGTACCAGAAGAAGGATTGATGCAGGTGTGAAATGTGTGATGCACGTCTGTAGAATTTCACAATTCATGGCTGTAGTTTTCTGTGTAGACCAAATATGCTGCAATCACACCGAGCCAGCTTCTCACACCTGCTATATCAGAGTTTTATTTCCTGAAAACACGTTCAGAGCCCCTTCAGCTCATGGAATGTCCTCTGGACTTTATACTGGAGTGGAGAGTTGTTGTGTCTCCTACCTGAGCTGGTGCTTTCACAGACCCATGAGGAATAAGGGCTTTTGTGATGCTGCTCTGGGTTAGGTGTGTTGACTTGTGGTGTGTGGAGGTTTTTTTTTTCATGAAGGAATGCTGAAATGTCAGTGAGGAACTGGCACCTGACAGGGACTCCTGGAGCACATTAACCTTGAGTGGTGTCCATGCTGGCTGTCCCCCTCCCTTCTCTCCCATAAAACTGGAACAATGGAAAACTGAGCTCTGCTGCTTTGTGGTAACTGTTTTCCTTAATCAGACAGAAAATTCATCTCTGGCTGCCTCAGGAGAGGGTTTCCCACAAATGTGCTGGCTTATTTCCCATGCTTCAAGTGAAGAAAGTCACTGCTCTCAACCCCATATGCAACAGAGGTTTCTATGCTAAAGGTGTGGGGCACTGGTGAAGGGCTCAATATAACATTTGGATTTCTTGTCGCTACAAAGCCCCTACATCTTGGTTTCTTTCCCACCCTCCTCCTGGAAAAGCTTGTTTTTCCCTGGAATTGCAAGATGGAGAGAGAATGGAAGCTGTGATGAATGAGCCCACACAGCCCTCCCAGCTGGTGGAACAGGTGAAAGCTGCTGGGAAGGGAAGTGTTCACATTTCAGAGTGGGTTTTATCTGCTCAGAGCAGCATTAGAGTAACGTGGTTGGAGGAAAAATTTGCCTTTCATACTTCATTTGGCTGTCAGCTGGCTCTGGGTTTCATTTGTGGTTCTTAAATCTCTTGTTCAGTTAAAGAATTCTGGCCAAAGGGAGAGGAAAGTAGGAATATTTGTGTTTGCAGATGGAGCTGGGCAACACTGAGACTTCAGTGCTGGAGGCAAAAAAGCCCAAACTTATTAAATTTTCTGTGAGACTTAAATGCATCCAGTCAGAATCCAGCCTAGATCTTGGATTTTACAGATGGATCCTGTCTTTCTGAATGGGCAAGTGCAAGTATCTGTAATGTGAATTTCATATTTAGCCACGGCTAAGAGTATCAGAACTGTTCTTCAGCAGCTGCCTAGTTTTATTGCCAAAAACTATGCTTTAGTAGCTAAACTATACAGCATTGCTGGGAGCCTGGGAATGCCCTCTCACTTTCACATAAGTATAAATGTATTATTTTAGATAAAGAATAAATGCACAGAACTAGGAATATTTGCTGGCATAATGTCTGCCTCTGCAAACACTGTGTTGCTTTTGTGCACTAAAAATGAGAGTGAAGCAGACTGGAACACTCCCAGGGCCATTAAAGAGCACGGGATGACTGGCTCCATAGGGTAATTAAACTAAATATGCTGTAATGAGGGTTTGATAAGCCTGAGCTGTGCTGGGTTGTAGTTGTGGTTGGTTTCTGGGTGCTGAAGGGCCCAGACTGGTCCATCCTGGGGGGGCAGTTCCTGCTGTGCCCAAGGGTGGAGTTTGGACAAGGGGTTTAACTTTGTTTTCTGATTTGTTTTCTAGAAATGTGATTATTTTCCAAGGGCTGATTCTAGTTTGAGGCTCAGCAATTCTGTGTGGCCCAAGTGTCTTTGCACGTGTCCAGGCCCTGTCATTAATGAGCTGAACCTGCCTCAGTTCTGCTGGAGGAGCCTAAATCTCACCACCACCTTAGCTCTCCTGCAGGACCAGTGCCTTGCTCTTGCCTTTCCCAGTGGGAAATCTTCATTCCTTTTCATTTACCTGTCACACAGTTACCATTGACATCTTGGTGAACTAACTTGGAAATCAGTTGTTTGCCCCTGGAGTTTGTCAGGATGTTGTTGATGTAAACTGGCTGGATGCACAGCAGTAAGAAGCCAATTTCTGTTGCTTCGAGAATTATTTTGCAGTAAAACAGAGGGAGGGAAGGTGTCCTTGATGAGGAGTTTGTGCCTCAGTAATAAGGGAGAACTTAGGGAGGTTATTCTCAGGTTTGGTGGTGTCTTAACACAGGCTTTTTTTATAAAGGTGCAAGACAGTGCTGAGGCTATCTGGTTTTGTATCAGTCTATTAATTCTATCTCCCAAATAAACATAAAAGGCACTAAACCACTGTTTTGTCTGAAACAAAAGAAATGGGATTGTAGTGTCCAGAGCAGCTGATTGACTGGCACAGACACAGGGAGCTAATTCTTAGCTATTCAAAAGCTTTGTGACTCTTGATTAATATTAAGTTGGGGTGTTGTGTGCTGGTGAATTGAGAGAGAAGACCCCACGTCGTGGGACCAGAGGCTGCTATTATTTCTAGCAAACACTTGGTTTTGCTGTTTTGCATCTGGCCTCGTGGAGCAATCGGTGTTGTCAGCTCCCATCTGAGCTCTGTCCTCAATTAAATCCACGCTCAGGGCTGAATGGATATTCCTGGAGTCGGATTAGTGATCCTGCTGGAAGTGCGTCATCGGTGTCGGTGAAGTTTGATCGGGTCTTGCTTTATGTTAATGGGTCTGAGTACACAGCACCCTCAGTTCCCTGGGGAATGGGGGGGCTGAGGTGCCAACGAGAGTGTTGGAAGATCAAATGCCTCTATTACAGTATCAGCAGATTATCTCTCCTTTAGTAGCAGGAGCTCCAGTACCCAGGTACACACAGGCAGTCAATGTTCGAGGAGTTATCAGGTATCTGAATGAAAACAAGAGTGTTTTCAAGAGCTGAACAGGGAAAACTGCAAACAAGGGTTGCTGGTTTGCTAATCCAGGCCTGATGCACAGCTGGAATGGAGAGGTGAGGCTGGGAGGGGATCGTGGAGGCTGGGGGTCAGTGCAGGGGTGGGAACTGTCACAGCCGCCGGAGCAGCTCTGCTGAGGGATCTTTGGAGCCTGGGAATGTCCATCCATTGTTGCTGTGGGGCAACTGAAGTGCCCTGTGTGTAGGTCACATCCCTCCATATGAATCCACTTGCTCATGGACAGTGATGCTTTGTGACACCTGTGTTTGCCTCTAATCCCCTCTGTGTGTCCTACACCAAATGTCTTCTGGCATCCTTGTGGACAAAACGTTTGACTCTTTGCACAGAGCTTGTATTCAGCTCACACATCCCTTTCATGAGCCCCCCCTGCTTGCCATCCTGCAGTCTGAGATAAGTTTTGTACCAGGTTTTGTGGAGGTGGTGGTTCCCCCACCCCTTCTGGTTCCCCTCCTGAAGGGAGGGAGGACCTTTGGCAGCATCCCCTTCCCGAGAAGTGATTTGATGCATTCCAAGCAATATAAAAGGGTATTGAATCAATCTTGATTTAATCAGCTTTACAGGTGACACCTAGAGACAACTGGGAGTCTGATTTTAATTGTCTTAATCATTAGATGCTCTTAGAAGGATTTGATACAGCTAATCCTTAACGTTCAGCACACTCATTGTGGAACAAGGCGCGAGCACACTCCGAAGGCATATGGAGGTCAGACACTAGGAGTCCCTCTGTCTGTAGCTCCTTACAGAACAGCAGGGAAAGAAAATCTGCTTCCCACAGATGTTCAGCTTATGGGGGTTGGAGTATAATGAACTGGATCCTGTTCAGCTGGGCTGGTGCAAGTGCAGCACCATCAGGGTGGTTGTGGTTACGCCCATCGGGGCGAGGAGGCACCTCCGGGGTGGGATCTGCTCCTGCACGTTCTGCCATCAGTGGAGCTAATCCTGCAAGAGCAGATTAATCATTAGAAACCTGAGCCAATATTCATTGAAATAAATGGAAATATTTCCTTTGGCATAGGTGGATTTGGGATGAGAGTCTACAGGATTACAGTGGTCAGACTATTGCCACATAGTAATGGCTGTAGGTTAGAATTAACCATCACACACTGACCCTGCATGTGAACATCCTCCTTGCAAGCCATCAAAGAGGTGAACTGGCCTCCAGAAAAGCCTTAAAATGTTTAGAGTACAGATGTTTTTCTCTGTTTATTTTG